TACCACACATGCCTAAATTTTCTTCCAATGCAGATGCTTTTTTGAAGTTTAATCTTTCCAGAAACCTCAAAGAAAAGCAGCCTCCTACTTCCATCGGCAGCCCCATGGGGAGGTGGAGCTGAATCCCGTCCCTCTGGCTGGGGCTGCACCCACAGTGGGAGAGGAAGTGCAGGAGGCCTCTACCAGCACAGGGGGCTTGGGGGCAGGTGACACAGGGGAGGGAGCCCCAGTGGAGGCGTCGGGGAGGCGCTGGACCTCACCTGGCTTGGGCCCAGAGCCCTGACATGGACAGCCTTGCTAGCACAATGATGTTGTGTGATAGCACAATGCCTGTTCATTCTAGGGAGTGCCAGGCAGGTGCCCACCTCTGTTCTCCCGAGAGGGGGTAACAGGTTCCTGGTTTGACAGGTGCAAACCCAAACCCAAGGCCCCAGGAGGCTGGTCCTGTGCCAGGTTTCAGAGGGCAGAGGTTGAAGCCCAACATGCAGGTGAAGGTGCCCTCCAGCCTGCACTCAGCCCAGGGGCTCCCTCTGGGCTAGGGTTCCTCGGTGCCAACTGGCTGGGCTCTCCAACCCACAGCTGCCACCCAGCCCTTGCTACTCCCTACCACTCCCTGTAGAGGGCGCTGGCCAGGACCCGGCAACTGGGCAGTGAGGCCTGTGCTGCAGCCGGAGAGCTGAGCTCCTTCCAGGCTAGGCAGCAAAGGCCCCTGCCTACTCAGCAGGAAGCCCACGGCCCCTAAGCGGGCTCCCTGCTGTCTCTGGCCCTTCCCACAGCCCAGCAACTAAGGGGTTAACGCTGCGAGGGGGGGGCCCCAGGAAGTTGTCTGAGGCCCCAGTGCTACCAAGGCTTCAAGGACAATCCACTTGCCTCCAGCAGCAGACAGCACCCTCCCTCCCATACCCCTGCCTCGCTCTGGACACCTCTCAAAGGGAGGCTCCGGAGCCCCAGATGTAGTTCAGCGGCACAAGCGCCAGCCTGGCAACCAACCACAAGGTCCTGAGTTTGATTCCCAATTAAAAAAAAAAAAAAAAAGCCTCTCTAAAGGAGGCCCCAAGCGAGCGCAGCCACTGCCTGTGGAGTCACTGTTCAGCCGGGGACACCCAGGGGTGACGGAGAGCCCGCCCAGGTGACCCGATGCTGTGCCTACCCGAGAACACCTTCTCAGCCCCGCAAGGAGGAGAAGCAGCGTTAGGGCCAGAGACGCCCAGCCCGGGCCGGTGGGCGCGACCCACAGCAGGTAGCGCCCAGGCGCGCCAGGTGTTCTGCTGGTGGCTGCGGGCACCGAGCGGACACGGATGGGACAGCGGGCTGGAAGGGGCAGCTCAGAGGGAAGGGAAGGGGTCAGTGCTCAGCAGGGCGGAGCCGGCCATGGGACTGGGAAGGACGGATGGGGCGCAGAGGCCAGTTTGGCTTCAGATCCTGGAGCTGCCACGCAGTGTAGGCTGGCTGTCATCAGGTCCAGAAGGCGGAGAAGGTTGAAATGGCCAGCGGCAGCAGGTGGCAGAGGACCTCGGACCCAAACCAGCTTCTTGGGTGTTCGGGTGTGGTCTCCAGACACGGCGTGGTCCCTTGGAGTCGGGCAAGGACGCGCACACAGCTGTGGTCCCAGCACGCTGAGTGCTGAGGCAGGAGGATCCCAAGTTAAAGCCCGGCTGGGGCAACATAGCGACTGTCTCAGAAATAATAATAAAGAGTTCAGGATGCAGCTCAGTGCAAAGGCTCTGGGTGCCATGCCGCGGAGGAGGGGCAATCCGTCGGGTGCTCTCACCCGGCAAGCGCGGGCAGTGGCTGGGCCAGGCGGAGCAGGGCCCTGCGCAGCCCTGCGCTTCTGGGGCTGGGGCTGGGGCTGGGGCTGGGGCTGGGGCTGGGGCTGGGGC